CGTCCAAAAATCATAACCCTTTATATTTTTAAATCCCTGTAAACATAATTCTATTTGAAGGTGTATTCAGTGTTAATAATGTTGAAAGATTTGACATCAACTTTGTATCTGTTTGCCACCAGGATATTTATGTGAGATGATCTCTAGCCTGACTTTCTTGCAGATACTTGTCTTCTTAGCTGGGTGGGATAGGAGCAACCTTGCTAGATTATTTTGAAAAAAAAAAAAAACAGTTCATTTAAAGAGAAATTCCATTTTGGAATGACTAAAATATTTTTCCTCAACATCAGAAAAATCACATGCATGAGTCTTCATGTCAAAATTGTATTTGACATGTATTTGATTTAATTTAAGTATAGTAAAATATAAGAGAAAGAAACTGAATGAAAGAAGCATCTCTATTCTGAACTGAAAAAAAAAGTAGAAATTAGTTGTATAGCCCCCTTCACAATTCTGCTTTAATTTCTTATAGCTCTACTGTAGCATAAATATCCAAGGTGCACTGAATATGCGGAACACTGACTATTGACTTAAACATTTTCCAAAACAGAAATTACTGTGGGGCTTCCCAGGACTGCCCTGACAGTCTAGGCAGGAGGTTGGAGGCACTGTCACAGCCCTCCTCTAGGCAGATGTTCCAGCATCTTAGTTTTCCACCAGAAGTACCCCAACAAGGCCATTTGCATTGGGGTAAATTCAACTTCCAGCAAACATAAAGAGGCACATTATAACATTGTGACCTGATAAAGAAAAACAGGACTCGTCCTCTCCATCGTGCAGCTCAGCTGACACGCTCCAGAGGACAAAACCAATGAACTTGAAAATTGAGTTAGTTTTTCTCGCAGGAATTAATGTGACTGTTTGGCTTCCATCCAAATTCCCTTTCACTGTTGATGTGGTTTTAATTTTACAGAGGTCTTTTTTTAATAACAGGCCACAAATCAAAATAATAGGTATTTTCCTTCCCGATCTTTAATTTTAGTATTCAATATTAAGCTATGTAGGGTCCCAGTAAATAGAATAATTTTTTTAAAGATAATTAAAATTAAGTAATGCAATACCTGCTTCTTTTGGTTTTGCTCCATTGTTAAAACTTCCTTAAAAGAAACTCAGTAATCCAAAGTCATTGGGCTAAACACAATGGTTCTATTGGTCTAGAAAACTGGCAATCCAATTCTTAATGTTTTGACCTCTAAAACACTATTTACTGTCTTAATTAGTATAGATGCAGTCTATCATATTGAAAGGAAATGGCTCCATGTACTGTTTGCATGGAAAAGAAAATCATTGCACAAAGGAAAATTCCTTCTTCCTGGCCTGGTAGGTGTTAGTGTACTCATTGGTAATGGCTTTCCTGCTGGAAAAATGGTTGCTTTTGGTTGCACAGGTTTTTTTACTGGTGATTTTAGAGAGCAGTTCCACACATGTTTTCCTTGATATTTCTGGTTTATGAAGTGTTCCCCAATTCTGCTCATAGACAATATATAGTGAGCTTCACACTTTGAGTCTCTGGTTTTCTTTACAGGAGATTAGTCTTCAACTGGCCTTTCAGCCTTGGTTATGGGGTACACCAGCTCTCATGGACTTCAGTAAGACCATGAGGGAGCAGCTGGGCTACCTGGGAGCCTTCCAAGCATGCTGCTTACTGCCCCAAAACACAGGCAAATGGAGAGACGGCTTGCTGGCCAAAGCAATGGGACACCATATCAGCTCTGAAGTAGAAGGAAGATTGCAGTAGACACAGTTATTTCTGCTAAACAGCTCCCTGGTGGGTTAAGGCTTCCTCCAACCACAACATTTACAGTATTGCTGGACTCAGTTAATGTGATGAGTAATACGTTTTTAAACAGACACCTCATAGAAGGTGTGTTCCTTTATTGCAGCACTGATTTATATTCAGACTTGGCTTAGTTTAGCTTGTTTTCTCTTGCCTGGTTCTTATGTTACTTATTACCTATATAAAAATATCCACTATAGTCGGGGGGGTCACCATAAGTGAAGGACAGCAGTTATTCTGTCCTATAAAGAGTTTATGTCCTGAATGTAAAAACAGTATTGTTTTCTTTTCACAGATATGATATGAGTCCCAGAGCTGGGACTCTTTAGTCTGGAGAAGAGAAGGCTGAGGGGAGACCTTATCAATGCCTACAAGTATCTCAAGGGAGGGTTGAAGGAGGAGGGAGCCAGACTCTTTTCAGCGGTTCCCAGTGAGAGGACGAGGGGCAACGGGCACAAGTTGGAACATAAGAGGTTCCACTCAAATATGAGGAGAAACTTCTTCACGGTGAGGGTGACAGAGCCCTGGAACAGGCTGCCCAGGGAGGTTGTGGAGTCCCCTTCTTTGGAGATTTTCAAAACCCGCCTGGATGCAGTCCTGAGTAACATGCTCTAGCTCTGGGCAATCCTGCTTCAGCAGGGGAGTTGGACTAGATGATCTCTATGGTCCCTTCCAACTCTAGAAATTCAGTGAAATTCAGTGAAATTCAGTGAATTAGAAGAAAGTTAAGTCTAGTTTCAAGGCATTTGGCACTACTTAATTTGTGAGAGAGGTAGAGCCTTTCAGAAGCCTGGCTGTGAATGCTTGACTAGGGTTGGGAAGTCACGGCAGAAATCTGTGCAGATCATGCACAAAAAATCAGTGTCAGAACCGGGAACAAACCACTAAGTTCAAAATTCTGGCTCGTCTTTTCTTTGTGGCTCATGTCTTCCCCAGGAACGCCACTAAATTTTAAGCAAAGAAGTCACTGTGCTATACTCTTAATTCTGTTGGTACTTAAGTGTCAATGAAAAAGGGTATTTGTGAACAGTTAATTCTGCGGGTTGGCTGAGCTATCTCTGTAACACTTCTAAATACTTCTCATCACTAGCAGTAATTATGAGATATAGGGCTTAAAACCAAACAACAACAATAAAGCCCCTTGACTGTGAAAAGTCTCTACTCTGTGATGTGGATGTACTCAATATAGTTGAATTTAAAGCACACCTCATTTCATGGTGCTTTTATAAATAACATGAAATTATGCACCATTTATATGTGATGTTTATTTTGTCAACTCCCACTTTCCGAAGTGACCAAGTAAGGATTTTTGTTTGTAGGTAAAATCCTCTTCCATAGAAAGTATTAACTTTTCAGAGACTGGTCAAAGTAATTTATTTTCTGCTTCTAATCATAAATTATAACAAATACGAAATTTCAAATTATCAGTACTGTGTTTCCACTGAATCCTTAATGCAATACTTAGTGTTAGGTCCTTAAAATTTACATTTTATACTAGAGGCAAATGGTTGAGTATTTCTTGTGACTTAAGGAAATGACGAGCTCCAACTTTATGCTTTAACTACATAAAATATACACAATATTTGTACACAAAGTTATATGCAAAGTCAGGAATAAGGAAACACCAGAGTATGCAGAGCCAGGCTTGAGGGTGCATTATCTGGATGTAAAGGAATGACTACATGAATGTTTGTAACTGAATGTCTCATAACTCAGGGCCAGAGTCCGGGTACTCTTACGCTGCTATAAGTCAAGAGAAAAGCCTTTGGAATAACCAGAATTATTCCAAGTCAGTATAGAAGCAGAACAAACTGGTATCATCATCTGCCCATAGATGCATGTGATCAGATACATTAAAGAAAGTGCAGGCAGCTGTTTACTATAAGCCCTGACCTGGCAGTGAGAATGCCACATGGAAAGAAATAAGGTCGATGAAAGAAAAACAAGCTGTTATAACAAAGAAGAGGCTGAAGGGTGACTTAACCGGGGATTAACATTTGCATTTGCAAGTAATATGTCTGTTACATTTGAATTTGCAAGCAACATCTCTGTTGTAAATGGATACTCTAACTACAAAGAGACTAGTGAAAAAAAAAGTAAAATATAATAATTCAAATAATCTGTATGGTATGCATTATGCTTATCAGAAAGAATATGTAACAGGCATCTCATTTCTCTTTTTTCTTGCCAGAAAACAATCCTTGATTCAAATTTTCTGTGTAAAACCCAGCCTTATTTATAGTACAATTGTAGACAATAAACACTATTACTGACCCCATTCCTCTGAGAATCTTTTGGCATAATACCAAAATAAACAAAATCTGAAGAAGTCATTATAAGAAAATAGACAAACAAGCCAATGTCAAGGACAGAAAGGGATTATTGTCAAATTTGTGTCTCTTACAAAAATTGGTGTTAATTAGTAGCACCAGTCATATTTCTGTCCGAAAGAGGTTCGCTTTGGTGTTTATGGTTGCAGTTTCTGAAAGCTGAGAGTCCAGATGTTGCTTCTCTTTTCCCCCAAGTTCCCTTTTGGCGCAGCATCCAATTCCTGCAAATCTGAGGGGAATGATGGCACTGAGAACAGCTGCTTCCCGGTCCTCCCACAGCACGGGAGCCCACGTGCTGCTGTCCTCAGACAGAGGCAGAAGAGAGCATGCTTCCCTCCTTCAAAAAACTAGGACTAACATTATGTTTTCCCATAATGTTTAGCAGACGTAGCCTGGCTTGTGAATACAGAACCTGACCCTGTGTGTGAATCAGAACTATGAATTTTAGCTTATCCAAACTATTTTTATACAAATATTTTGAAAATAAAAAGAAAAGGGTTGAGAGAAAAACAGTCTTTTGATAGTTTTGGGGTTTTGGGGGGGGTTAGAGTCTGATCTAAAGCACATTGTGGCAAGGGGATTTTTTCAGTACTCTTTGGACCAGACCCTTAAAAAACAGTCACAGCAATATCACTACGGTATTACAATTGCTTCTTCTCACCATGCCTGCAGCTGGAAGGTATTCAAGCCAAGCCCAGATTTATACCAAAATATTTGCTATGTGTTTCATATAAGGTGTAATAAACTTTGAACACAGCAGAACAGACTTTATGTCCAACATTTCCTTTTAAATGCCTGCCTCTTTGCTCTCACACCCCTGCGCCCTCACATTTTACGTGCCAGCGTTGTTGTGTTGCTGGAGTACCTTCAACAAAATAGCCCCAGCCAGTGAAGCAAGCACAAGCACTTTCTGAGGTGTGACTGACTGCTGAGTGCAGCCCTTCTCCTTTGCTGCTGTTTATAGATGACATAGGAGCCCTCGTTGGCCCTGCCGCTCGCTTAATTGACTTAAAGCTGGTAGTGAGCAAGGGAAACAGAAACATGGCATTCGTTACCTTTTTGATCCCCTGCTTTGTGATCGGCGCTGATATGGTTTTCTCTTGCCAGAATACTGACGACTTCGTGGGTGCCAGTTCTCCGGGGGACATTGTCATTGGAGGCTTGTTTGCGGTCCACAGCGAAATGCTGCGTCCAGAAGAATATCCCATCAAGCCAGTAATTCAGAATTGTGCTGGGTGAGTAACACTGGAAGTTACATACATAGCAAAGAAGAGATTACTGACATCAGGCATGTGCTTCTTATATTAAGATCAACAAAATCTGTTTCTCTTGCACTTCTTAGTCTTTAAAAAGACCTTGGACATCACATAAATTCCCTGTAAATTAATACGGGATGACAAAATATGGTAAAGTTACAGTAAAAAATAGTGTAGCTGCCTGAGGAAAGGAATGAGCATTTGATCCTATTGCAGTCTTCATATATAACCAAATAGCCCTGGAGGTTTGTGCTGAACAATCATTTAATTTCCATATAAATGCTAATTTTTTGCTATATGTCTGAAGTACTCTGCTATGCAGCTGTTTGTTATTTGTTACGGGGTTGCACCTATGTGATTTGAACACAGGCAGACTGCTCCATTTTATCTAAGCACATATTAAAGTATGTCCCCTGCCTCACAGGGCAGCTCAGTTGTAATCTATGACAGTACCTTGCTGACTAGATTGTAATTATTGTTGTAATTACTGTAATTATTAAACTTTGCATTATAATTGTGGCATTATATTATAGGAGAGACTCTATATAAACACCATGTCATGTATGCATTCAGGTTCAGACTGTGGATCAGAATATTTATTTTGTTGACTCCAAATCCTATTGTGCTTGAAACAACTAGTTTTCTGGAAAGAATGCAAAGCAAATCTGGTGAAGAACTTCATTTTAAGTACATTATAAAGCTTTCCTGAACCCAGGAATTCCAAATATGCATTTTCTTTAATTTTAATACAGGTGCAAATCCTCAATTTTTCTTTGAATTTTACGTGCAACTTAATCCTGCGTCTGAATCTAATGTTGATAATTTTGTCAGTCTTTCATTCTTTTTCTATGAAGTCATGAACTACTTCAGGTCCATTTGAAATTTAATTTGTTTGCAAGATTGGTGAATTTAAGAGAAGCTTCCCTGAGAGGAGGGTTGGTTTTATGGCAGACATTTTGTACTGGCACAGTTGTGATTAAATATCTGTTATGATATCCACTGGAGATAAGGGGAATAGCTGTATTCACTTAATCAGGTTTAGAGAGGATTTTAAGAATGTTGGTGCAACTGCTAGAAGACCTCAACCTCTGAAATGTTTTCTTCTACTCTGTAATATTTAGTCCTTTCTTTCCTCTGTTTCATGCTTTTGGTGACAGCAAATACATTTTTAAAAAGCTTACTTGGCAGATGGAGTAAATTGAAACAACCCCACTGACTTTGACAGATGCCTCCTGAAGACAGCACTTACAATTTTTACATATATCATGAAAATTTGAGGTTTAGTACCTGCTTTTTCAGAAAATAATTTTTATTAATTTTAAAGTTTGTGTTTATTTCGTTTAATCTCCCATTTCGGTGAGGCAAAAATGTGTGATTTCTAATCTTTTGTATGCTAAAAGCCAAGGAAATCACACAAAACATACTATCCATTCTTTCTTTCCCATAGTTATCAAGTTCTAAAGGATGTGCTCAAAACAGATTTTGCTTTGGCCTTGTTCCCAGCAATGTATTCCTCTAAAATCAAACTTCTGTGTTTCCTGACAGCTTCGAAATTCAAATTTTTCTTCAGACCCTTGCAATGATACATGCTATTGAAACGATCAACAATTCAACGCTGTTATCTGGAGTTACGCTGGGCTATGAAATCTACGACACGTGTGCAGAAGTTACAAAAGCCATGGCATCTGCTCTGAGGTTTCTGTCTAAATTCAATTCTTCTGAGGGTGCTGTAGAGTTCAAGTGTAACTACTCAGACTACATCCCGAGAATCAAGGCAGTCGTTGGAGCCAGCTACTCGGAGGTCTCGATGGCGGTTTCAAGGCTGTTGGCCTTGCAACTGATCCCACAGGTAGGTTTGAGGGAATTGTGTCATTTTGGACAGAGGGTCAAATTTGCCATGCTTAGAATGAAGGTGTGGCTCTGACTATAGGGACTGCAAAAGCCATGTGTTTGCTACAGGGCAGGATTTGTCTCACTCAAAGGACATCAGGAGAGCTGTGATTCTACTCCAAATGTGGGGCTTGATTCTCTTGCCTAAGCAAAGGCAGTGAGGACTAGTTTATATGCCCGAGGCGTGTGCCTCCAAGTGCTATTTCAGGATGATGCCTGGCTCTTGTCAGTAGTCAATCCTGCATGGTTGTGCCAGTTACTCCAGTGTACCTTGGGTGACACTTGAGGATTCTGTTCAGGCAAAAAAAGTCACACTTACCACTGCACTCTAGTCTGGCTGGTGGTGAATATGACAATCCCCATCTCAAGCTGAAAAAAAAAGAGAATTCAAATTTGGCCAGAAATTTGGAAAATCTCACCTGCCTGAGAGAGATTAGATGTTGGAGTCTATTATAACTGTGGAGAGGGAAGTGAGGACTATTGGTCTAAAACACAGTTTGACTGTGATACTCTTCAAGCAGTTGTAGAAAAGAAGGAATACAACTCCCACTGCACTGGTCTTTCCCAAAACATCCTGCTCTGTTTCTGACCTCTAGGACTAGCCCAATCCCAACCTTGCACGTAGGCTGGTGCTTCCATTTCTTTTTTCACCATTTCAAGAGAGTGGGGTCATGGCCAGGACCAACAAGGAAAAAGGAGATCCACACTATCCTGTGTCGCATCCTGGGTTTGTCAATTTGACATGTTACCTCACTGCAAAGTAGCAACAGAGTAACCAAACACATGGAAAAGCCATAAAATCTGAACTAAAAATAACTTCTGAGTATTCTCCTCTTCAATTGTAGGAAGTAGTTATGGCCTCCAGCTTCACCACGGGGGTTATGTTAAGTATGAAAATGAAAATGCCACACTTGAACATAATTAAAAGGCAAGTGATGAAACAAATCTGCATTGGGGCATAGAGATAGAAAAGGTGACACAGCATATTTTTCTCATCAATAGCATCTGCAATCTTCTGACATCAGTAAGACTTGGTGTCCCTTCCAGAAAGGTGACTGTCATTTTGGAAAGCTTAGATTTATTTTTTAAGAAATGTAGGAAATAAAACAAATCCTACAAACAAATATGAAAGGATTAAAACTAGGGAAATTTAAATAACAATGTTGCCTTAATGTTTTTCTAGCTACACTCACAAGAAAAGGGTAATAAATCTTTTATATGAAAGAATTATAACATTCTGTAGTGTTGGTTACTGTTTGTTTTTATGGGAGGTCTTTCTAACAGACTTATGATCCTTCTAAAAAATTTAGTAATTAAACCCTGCAGAGGAAATATATATTTGGGTGAACCGTACTGATGCACTTGGTGATAGAAAAATACTGCAAAATGCAAATTGAATGGTGACTCAAACAATATTTGATGCTTCCAGTGTTTTAAATATTGTTTTGAACAGCATGGTGGTGGTATCTGAACAGAGCAAACCAAAATCCTTATATCAGCATAATTGTTGTATCCATTTTGAAAGGTTTTATCCTCTGCTGTCATTACCATTGAAGTAATTATGTGGATGAGGATGGAAATAGTGGAACTGGTACTGGGCACGAGTCTGCATCTGAATAGCAGGGTGAGGGAACCTGCCCCATTTGGCTGCACCTTGTTGATGTTCCCTCACAGGAAGAGGGAGCCCTGGGTCAGGCTGATGAAAAAGCAATCATGGCAGCTTTGGATCTCTTGGTGTCCTTTGGAGGAGATCGCCTCCGTAACTGAATTGTTCGCTCTTCCTAGGTCAGTCCCGTGTCATCAGCTGAAATCCTCAGTGACAAAATCCGGTTTCCTTCTTTCTTCAGGACTATCCCCAGTGATTTCCATCAGACAAGAGCAATGACCCACTTGATCTGTGAGTCTGGATGGAACTGGATTGGAGTAATAGCCACTGATGATGACAATGGGCGGTTTGCTCTGGAGAGCTTTGGGGTCCAGGCCATGGCAAACAACGTTTGCATAGCTTTTAAAGAAATGCTGCCTGCCTACCTCTCTGACAACACCTTTCACACCAAGGTTGATCATGCAATTGAGAAGATTGTCAAGGAAACCAGAGTAAATGTTATTGTTGTCTTTATGAGACAATTCCATGTGCTCAAACTATTTAAGAAGGCAATCGAGAGGAATGTAAATAAAATCTGGATTGCAAGTGATAATTGGTCGTCTGCAGTCAAAATCAGTACAATTCCCAATATCAGACGGCTGGGGACCATTGTGGGATTTGGATTTAAAAGCGGAGACATCTCCCCATTCCAAGATTTTCTGAGAAACCTTCATGAAAAGCCCACTGACAACAACAAGTTTTTAGATGAATATATTATGCTTTTGTCAGTCTGTGCACACCTGGAATACTACGACTTTCAAATGTGCATTTCAAACCAATCCCAGGATGATCTATTGCAAAACGTTGAAAAAAAATATCAGGTCTGGAAAGATGATTTTTTGAATGCTAACATTGAACCAGGATTTATCCACAGTACTGCGCTTGCAGTCTATGCCATTGCTCATGCCATTAAAGGGCAATGCAAAGACAGAAACTGCAAGGATCCCTCTGCCTTCACTCCCTGGGAGGTATGATTTTAATTCTTTCATGTCTCATTCTCTCTGCAAAACTTTCATCTCATTTTTGCTCCCACGTTCCTGGATTTACTATCTTGGCCCTTTTACTAAATGACTTTTTATTCCTATTCCTGCCTTTCTTCACCAAACGAAACCACAGACTATGTGCTGGAGCAGCAGCATCTACCTGCAGCAGTGCTGAGAACTAGAATTCAGTTTTACTGCCCCTTTTTTTTTGGCTCATGTAGACACAGAAGCTCCTGGTGCTAAGCCATGGCTACGATCTGCTGTAGATACAGAATGATTATTGTATTTCACATACAGACAGCTAACTGCATACCCACCATCTCCTCCTTCATGGGTACAATAGCAATGGCTGTAAACGCGTGACTCCATGGGTGCAGAAGGCATCTTTAGCTACTGGTGTTCATTAGCTACCCTAACATTTCCCCATCACCCTCAAAGAGCACACAGAGAAGGCACCAGGTTGGATGAAGGCTCCAGTCTACAGGCTCCTTGCTGGAACACCTTGTTAGCTTCTCATGTGGGACAGAATAAAATGTATAGTCAATCTACAGTTGACACTATCAGCTATTCAGCTACTAGTGGTTGGTCCTGTTGCTGAAAACATTGTAATACACAGCTATGAGTGCTTTTGAGATATGAAGGTATTGCAGGATGGGTGCATTCACCAAAGAGTTTTGATTTTTCTCTCACCATTGTCTCTGTTTTGTCTGAATTCAGGTATTTTCCTCTATAATGTATCTTTACTTGAAGGTGAAAATGCAACAGACTATTCCTCTCTCTGATCTTGATTTATACTGGAGTGACTGGTAGGACAATCAGACACAATCTTTAAGATGGGAGAGGTACTTGTTATCAAACTATACTGGGTGGGAAAAGAAGAGGAAAAATCAGACAAATCAACCTGACCTGACCTTTTACCCAAGAACCTGCTCAGGAGTATTCACTTTTACACACTTTTACTCAGAGGATTAAACAAAGTTCATTTAAAAGTCAAACAACCACTGACGCACTCTGACTTGCTCTGACCTCTTATGCTAGGTCAGGGCAGGTCAAACCAAGATAGGGGATTTGGAAAAAAAAACCCAGTAACAATCAAACTCATACATGAATTTGTTAATGCAAATGGGAAAAATTCAGGACTGGTCTGCAGGGGATGCGACTTTATGGAGCTGCATTTGCATCACTGCTGAATTGAATCCCAAACTAAAACTCCCATTAAGAGCATAAGAACTTATGCAGAAAACCAAAAGAGAGTTATTCTCCATGTGCTGTTTTCATAATACTTTTCCTCTACACTGAATTTAAACCCTCCAGAAATGGATATATATACATAAAGCTTAGGGTGAAACTAATCTGTATCACACATCTCCATATATAGAGAAACGACAGAGGTATTCGTGCTACAGCCTTTGCAAAAATAGCCATCAGTTAAATCAAAATGTTGATAATTATTAGCCCCTTCTGCCTGAAGCTCAATATGAATTCCAAAAGCTCTGTTGTTCCCATATTGTTAGAGAAATTATAAAAATGGAGAAGGGAAAGATTAAATGACTAGCCTAAGTATATACAATAACAAACTTCCTATTCAGTCTCACAAGACTGCAACATCCAAATTAGGTGTAATGTAGGTTAGAAGCATACTTGTTCATAATTGGTAGAGATCCAGTAAGAGTATATGAAGTCTGAAACAAATGGCACATTATACATGAAATAGTTACATTTTATATATGCCACGTGTGCTATACACACATAGATATACATGTATATGCCAGAGCCTTTTGAATTAATACACTTGTCAGTATGTTGGTTAAATGTTACAAATATCACAAAAAGTTCCCTGTAAGAGTGTACTTTGAAAAGGGCTGTTAAATTCACCAAAATCTTATCTTTTTTTTTCTTGTTAATTGATCCCTGTTGCCAAGATTTGTTAGACCTGCAAAGGGATAAAGCCTTTACTTCAGTTAAGAACCACAGTTACCAAGGATAGTCCTTGTATGGTCTCCCCATGAATTGGGAGTGAGTTATATGTGCCTAAACCTGTCTTTTTCTAAATTTACACAGAACTTTTTGATCCGGCTGTTTGGGATAAGGGAGAGAGAAGTTTCACTCTGTTGAACAGAACAAAAGAGTTCCAAAAGAGTTCCAAAATGCCATTGTTTCTTGCAAGCAAAAAATCTTTTCTTTCCCATGATTGTACCAAAATTTCCAAGGCTAGGAAAAAATACTTACATGAGTATTTGTACACATTGCATAGAGTTAAGAAACTCTGGGGTTTTTTTTATTAGTAGATATTTAAGGTCAACTGGATTGTCTGAATAATATAATTCTGTGTAGGATGTGAAATTAAACACTTATAAAGATGACTTTTAATTTTAAGGCCTCTTTTACACCTAAAAAGCAACATTTCTTTTTAACTTGATATTGTCATAGAGATCTTAAACTATTGAGTTTAACACACTGACATGACACTGATGTATGTTATTGTTCCTTATGTTCAGCTCCTTGAAAAGCTTAAAAAAGTTACGGTCATTGATGATGATAAAGAAATCAAGTTTGACCCCAATGGAGATTTGAGCACCGGTTACAATGTACTTCTTTGGAAAGAAATTGATGGCCACATGGAAATCACCACTATGGCAGAATATGACCCAGAGAAAGGTGGCTTTATCTTTGAGGATGAGGAGAAAAAAAAAGAATTTCTGGATTTAAAGGTAACTTTTCATTTGTTGACGTAACGTGTAAAATTTGTTTCATGTTTTTCTTCTCCCTCCAGTATTTGCAACTGAAGCATGTGTCGGATAGAAATCTCTCTTGTAGTTTCATGTTCTGCTTTTAGAACAAAGAATCCTCTCTGGGTTTATCCAACCACCTTCATGTACCTTATACTAGCCTGCAAGCAGGCTCAGTGATTTGAAATTGAGTTATTTCTCCAGAATGCTCCCAGAAAGTTTCCTAAGATGAGCAAATCGGAAGTTATGTCTATCCTAAGGATGCTATTCCAGAGTCTTGAAAAGGGGATTTAAAATAAAAAATGACTGTGTATAAAAGCTTATGTAACACCACCAGTTATTTTGTACATGAAGGCTCATATCTGTTGACTTTACTGTCAAAAAAAAAAAAAAAGAAAGGAAAAAAGTATTGTTGATTATTTGCTCCTGTTAAAGTTGAGGTCAGCACGACTACAGGAGTCTGAGGCAGGTGGCACCACCAGGACCCCTGGCACTGGTGGTGCCACTGCCAGACTAGTGGGTCACCCAGGCCACTTCCAGCTAGAAAACTTGTTGTCTGTGAATGGCTGAAGGTCTTGGTTCATCGTGCAGCTCTGTGCTGCAAAGTATTCACCACTAATGGGACGGGGAAAGGCTGCTCACTGGGTGGGCTGACTTCAAGTCTCAGTGCGTGGACTCAGCTGAAAGAAAAAATGAGGGCAGAAGAAAACCTCAAATCTTGCCCCTCTTTGTGGTGGCAAGGAAATATCTCCACCTGTTTGTGAGCACCATCCTGGAGGGAGGAGGTAGAGCAATGTCCCTCAGGACTACTTCTCCATTTTAAAAAAAAAACTGTCTTTGGAAAGAGGACCTGAACTCAGACCTCAAGAGAAGGCCCAGATCACCCTCCTCCAGGGTGGTGTTTCATGACTCGGGGATGAGCTGCCAAGAGTCAGGAACATTGGAGCTGCAGTGCAGAGCCCGCCAAGGTGTCCCCAAGGTGTCCCAACTGAGCTGAAGTGTCTCCCTCGAGGCAAAGCGTCTCCTCTGGGCTCAGAGCAGCTGAGCAGGGTTTGGGGATCCCATTTGCTAAGCAGTCCACTTGAATCCCCTGTCAGATGCCTCTAGGCTTTCTTTGGAACTGATCCTCAGAAGTCTAAATCCCCTGTTCAAAGCAGGATGAGGCACTTTGATCTCAATCTTAAAGGCACAGACAGTTCCAGTGATTGGCACTCTGGCCAAGAATTAAAATTGTTGGGTAGATAATGTCCCATCCTGTCACTTGACTGTGCTGAGAAAATGCAAGAAGCATAGATCCTGAAATGCCTTTTTTCAGCATCACTTTCAGATTCCCTTAAAACATGTTAGGTACAAAAAGACAGTCCAAATTGCAGAGTTATTGGAAATTTATTTTGATGGCTCTTAGTAATTAGTTTGGCATGAGCTGATTTTTTTCTTTGTTTTCTGCACACTACAGAAGGTTCAGTCAACATGCTCCCAGCACTGCAGGCCAGGACAGATGAAAAAGGTTACAGAAAGTCCACACACATGCTGCTATGAGTGTGTTTACTGCCCAGAAAACCATTACAGCAATCAAACAGGTAAGGAATTGTGATCCAAATAAAGGTTTATTTAGACAGCAATACAATTTGTATGTTTGGGTATAATGTGCCTTGGAAACCTTGGGTATAATTTTGGAATGGGGTTATAATATTTTTTTCGTTCTTGGTTTCCCAAAGATGAGTGTTCAGCCATAAAACTTGGTTTAAATGCTTTTTAGAAGACCAAATGTAAAGCAATTAGATTTTCCAGGTGACTAGCATTATTGTTCATTAGAATAGAAAGTCTGGCTGGTGTATCAGTAAGATTGATTCATTAAAACAGCCTTGCTTCCCTGTGTTTCTGCAGTACCCCCAGTCCAATAAGGACAATTTTTTTCCTGTGAGGGTGGTGAGACACTGAAACAGGTTGCCCAGGGCAGCTGTGGATGCCCCATCCTTGGAAGTGTTCAAGGCCAGGCTGGATGGAGCTTTGAGCAACCTGCTCTAGTGGGAGGTGTCCCTGCCCAGGGCAGGGGGATTGGAACTCGATGTTTTTTGAATGTCCCTTCCAACACAAACTATTCTGGGAGTTTATGAAGTTCAAGGGTTATGTATTTTGCTTAGCAGCATATTTTTTGTCTTACCAAGGAGTACTGTGAAGTTTGATCTAACTGTTACAGTGATATTTTCTAGTATCAGATTTGTTGTGCACTGGTTCATGTGCAGGTTTGAGCAAAGTTTTTAAATATGGAGAAGATGGAATTACGAAAGGTACTTATAATGTCCTGAGAGGAGAAGGAAATTAAATTTTATCTTTTGAATTCAAATAATTGTGAAATGTCTCCATATCAGAGAAGAGGGGTTTTACAGCAAACGTAACCTTTCAAAGCATAATCTAAAGCAATGTTTATTCTCAGTGTTGCATTTCAAAAGCTGTCTGTAAAGAGAAGGTTGAGTGGGTTTTTTTTTCTTGTCAAAATAGGTAAATGAAAGAAACATAGTTCCTATTTCTGTAAGATTTTAATCTCAAGTGATTTTTCAGGTTTCAGTTGAAGTTTGCCTGTCCAGAGCTTTGCCCATGTTATTTATCACCAGGCAGTGAAGACCAAGGCAGTTGTAGGACCCTGTTCAAGCCCCCTGTCCCCTCCCCTCCCCTGGCTACAGGCAGCCCCTGCTCCCAGCTGGCAGGCACTCATCCTTTGCTCCTTCTGCCTCTGCCACCACTGTCACCACTGTCACTGCTGCCACCGCAGCCCTGCAGCTCCTCCACCTGGATGGTGGCAGCAACGGTGGGAAGCAACCCTCAGCCCTGTCCTTCCCCTCAGCATCCCTTCCCGCATTCCTCTTGTATCTCAAGCCTCGATAATCCACTTCGCAGTTTATTTACCTGGGGTTTCTAAGTTATCTTACCTTCTTCTGCTTTCAGATATGGATTACTGCTACCGCTGTAACAACAAAACCTACTGGGCTCCCATCAACAGCACCACGTGCTACAGAAAGACAATCCATTTCCTCGCCTGGACTGACTGGTTTGCAGTTTTCCTCCTCCTCCTCTCCGCTTTTGGGGTTGTGTTGGTTTTGTCAATTAGTGTAATATTCACTAAAAACTTGAACACACCAGTTGTAAAGGCATCTGGAGGTCTAACTGTCTGCTATATTATTCTCTTCAGCCACTTCTTAATTTTTTTAAGCACCGTCTTCTTCATAGACGAACCCACAGAATTCAAGTGTAAAACTAGGCAAGCCCTCTTTGGCATAAGTTTTGCACTCTGCATTTCATGTATTTTAATAAAGTCACTAAAAATTTTACTAGCCTTCAGCTTTGATCCCAAACTGCAGAATTTCCTGAAGTGTGTATATAAACCTGTTCCCACTGTGGTCGCCTGCACTGGAATTCAAGTTATCATTTGTACCTTCTGGCTAATATTTAGGACGCCTTTTGTAAAGCAAAATTTCTCAATCCCAAGAGCTATACTTCTGGAGTGCAATGAGGGCTCTATTGTGGCTTTTGGGATTATGTTGGGCTACATCGCTGCCCTAGCCTTCATTTGCTTCATATTTGCCTTTAAAGGTAGGAAATTACCAGAGAACTACAATGAAGCTAAATTCATCACCTTTGGCATGCTGATTTACTTTATAGCGTGGATTGTATTTATCCCTGTCTATGCAACTACATTTGGCAAATACCTGCCAGCAGTGGAAATCATCGTTGTTTTAATATCCAATTATGGAATCCTCTGCTGCACTTTCCTTCCAAAGTGCTACATCATCATTTACAAGCAAGAAACAAACACAAAATCTGCCTTTCTCAAAATGATTTACACGTACTCCTCCAAGAGCGCGGGCAGCGTTGCTGTTAGTCAGATTTCTTTGGATTCAAAGTCTTCCAGCTCCCGAGCTACTATCTCAGACTCGTGTAAATCTGAGAGAAACTCTGTGAATGGAAACTGCCATTTCCAAGTGCCTGGGCAGAGACTCATAAAAGGGAAAGTTCTTCCTAAAAATACAGCCAGGGCTCTGGCCAGGAAAAGACTCTCCAGCATATGACTGGCCAGTGTTAACGTACTAGAAGATGAAAAGCCATATTAGGGAGCTATTTCTCTTTCAGGTCTCTTTCCTTTTTGGCATCCCCAAAGAGAGCAGGTCACATGAAATGCCTTCTCCTCTGGTACTTCAGCAGTTCTCCATTACCAGATTTGCAAGGCTCTCCTTGGCCATGGAGCCCAGCCCCTGCTCCTGCTGGCACCCCGAGGTGTGGTCCCCCTCTGCAGCTCCCTCCTTTCCCCAGCCCCTTCACATAGACCTGCAGGAACTTCTGCAGCCTCACTCCCCCCGAGTGAGGCAAAAACATCAGGAAATCATTATTTCTCACAGACTGTAGGTGGGAACATATGGCTTTGCCCCATGTTTTTTACATCTTGATGCCCATTTTTTAAAGGAGCTCTTCTTCTCACCTCGATCTGTTTTACAGATCAAACAGAACCATCTCCCAGCCTAAGATTGTTTGCTAGGATAAACATGCTCAGTCCTTTAGTCTCCACTTTTAAGATAGGCTTTCCATTCTCCTGAACATACAACCCTTTTCACTTGGTATCAGGGAATCTTTTTTTTTTTTCCCAAAAAAATTGCACACCTTATTCCAGACTATAGTAACTTTTAAAGTTCCTTGTAATTACCAGGATGATAATAACTTGAGACAAGTTTATATAAAAATTAAAGAGTTTCTCTGGAGCTCTGCAGTTATATATATGGTCAGCTGCTTTTTTTCCATACTCAGAGGAAACACACTGATTCACCTCATGTGCCTCCTCTGATTCCTCTTACTAGAGGATGTAATGTCAGAGTGTAATATAGAACTTATACACTAATTGATTCCTCTCATTAGCATAAATAATATAATAACTGTGACCAGCATGAGCGCATCCTGGGAATTTTAGATTTTTTGATACATATTTTAAAAAAAACTATTTTCAACAAGAAAATGACAATGCACCATGCTGATATGCAGAAATAGCAGAGGAATGAAAGGATACAAGCTGCACCGGAGGGGTCTCTGCTCTGTAGCCCCCCCTCCCCCAGCAGTGTTGTGCCTTCTGCACGACAGGAAAAAGGCACGTTCAGAGAAGAAGGAATTTTTCTGTTGGGGTAATGGTACCACAAGAGCCTTTTCAAACCCTGAACAGCAGGGCTATGCTGCCAGTCCAGGACTGAGAATACTTTTCTGTGTTCCCAAATCCCATGGCCCAGACCATAGAAACATTGCCATTTTAATTTCTGTGCCATGTTACTGTGAAATATTGTTAAATTCTTTGAGTTTTGTCCATGCTTTTTATTTAGATCTGGAATAACTGGATGATGTGGCAGACCAAAATGAAATGAATTAGATTTGGTGTTACACAGACATATTGTATTATTGTTATGTACAATTTATCTATTTTTTCTAATTTCTATTTATATGTTCTAACCCATATCCATATAATTTTTCCACTCATATTTTGTTAAAAATACCTATAAATCACATTTCAGCAATGGACACAGGAAATGAAATTACTGTGACATGTAGACTATATATGTAATATATATCTATGAAGACATTTTTAAAGTAATTTGAATGGCAAGGGTGCAATTAATATACATATTTGAGTAATTATGTAAGTTCTGCAGCTGATTGGAAGAATGAAGCTTTGCACACATGTATTTATATGATGAATGTTGTTCGTACATGAGTTGTTGCGAATACTGTTCTGAATATGAAATTATGAATTTATGTATTATAAGGTTAAAATTCCTGCGATTTGGCTGTCATTGCAGCAAGAAGTGTCTGCCCAAAGGAGAAGCAAAGCTTCCATTGCACAATGACTGTCAGTGCTCAGCTGGTTCGAGAAGTCAATTTGACTTGGATGTTGTATGTGTATTTATTATTTTCAAAAGTGTTGAGCATGTTTCGTCTTGAAGATATAAGGAAAGGAAGGGAATGATTAAAGCCATATTGTTATTTTAAATTGAGTTTGTTTACTTAATTTCCTTACACTTCCCTATGAACTTTGGTTTGGTCTTGAACAGCAGCAATACATGCACATGTGCAGTGTTTCCACCCAGTAGATCTCAAACTGCTTCTTGTAAAACTCCTTTAGGTTGAGAGCTAAGTATGGTAGGGCATTCCCCCTGCAGGACAATGAGGAAAGTATCTTGAGGAAGAAGGTGTGGTGACAGCAATGTGAAGGTCTCCACAGTGGGATCTCTGAGGAAAGACATTTCACATGGCAGAATTTCAAAGGAGTCCTAGATTCTACATCTGCCTCTCCAGCTGCTCAGGTCTTCTGCATAAGGCACAGTCAGCGGTGGAGCTGGGAGAATGTAACAGTTAGACTTGGCAGAAAAAAGAGATGCTGTACCAAGCTGTGTGACATATGTTTTTAAATCCCTTGTTTGCCAGAAGCAAGTGATTATATGTAGGTAGAACGTAAAGAAATTGTGCTACCCTATACAGAGAAACCAAAAAGCTGGAAATGGGAGTTCATGATGCTAAAGGAAGCATTTGCACACATTTCCCTGCCCAGAACAGTAAGTGTTCCAGCAATCTAACCATTCCTGTTACCAGGCACGGGGACATTAAATGAGCCTGGGGGACATTAAATGAGCCTGAAACAGACTGTCACCCCCAGAGCAGAGAACAGGAATCACCTTCCCGAGGCACAGTGAGGTCTCAGCACAGCCCCCCCAGAGCCATGTTCTGTAGGTCAGTCCGTGTGGGGCCAAAAGGGTTAGAGCCCGCCCTGCTTGCTTACTTTGGAAAAATCCCCACTTTCCAAAATGCTAACGCTCTTAAGTGTCCACCTGCACATTTTCCATTCCCAAGAGCCATAGAGAGGACAAATGTCCCCAAATACAGTGCTGTCCCCTGAGAAGTCAAGCATGAAGATGTCATTTGTGGAGCTCAGTGGGAGGCAGTCCTGGTTGTAACTACTATTTAAGGTTTTGGGGTTTCATGTCATTCATTGTTAATAATGCTAAATGCTTCTCCAGTTCTAATTCCCTCAAGATTTCAGTAGCTCTATCTGTGTGATGCCTTTCAGTTGTCCATAATCTTTCGAGCAGTTCTTTGGTGAGTGCTGAGAACTGTTTGTGTGAGCTCCAGGATTTCTCCCAGCAGCCCTGCAGACGGCCGTTGGAATTACAATGACTCAAAATGTGTGGGTTACCAGCATGAGGAGCAATTAACAGGAGCACCTGGGATGCTGCTCCTGATGAATATTGTCAAGTAACCCAGATCAGCTGTGCTGATTCTTCCCACCCATCCCAGCTGTGTCTCCAGAGACAAGGAGAGCTGCTTTACACCACACCACTCTCTAGGAGTAGGAAGAAGGCAAAGGCAAGGGGGCTATGGACAGGTTATAACCCCAGTACCACCCCCTGGGTCATTTCTGTTGATGTATCTTCCTCTCCCCAGCAACATCCTGAAATAAGGCAGAGCTGCTTGGTGAGTGTGTGTGTGCGCAGAGAGGTGCATACTTTTCCTTTTCATTATTTTCAGAAGGACACGAGAAAGTCAGTGTGGAGCTTTGATGCAGGGACCTGGTTTCTTCTGTTTAGAGAATGATTCGTTTGCAAACAGAAACTTTGCTCTGAAATAGAATGTGAGAAGATTATTATTTTTTTAAGTTGGTATGAGTTAAATGGGTTGGTAAAACATGGCTTTCATGTTTTACAATTATGAGGACATATTGTTACATTAATGATTTTGGAATGGAAACTGTACATGTGTGAATAAGAAAACATCAACATGGGACTACTTAGTGAAAAGAAAGTGCTTTTTTGAGTATCTTTCTAGAACTAAATGTTATCCAAACAGCATTCAAAAAAAAAAAAAGCCCTTTTAATATCGAGAGGTCACCAGAGCTCACTTTGGAGATAAATTTCTGATTTCTTCTACTCAACACTTTGCTTTCAGGAAAAGCTGCTTACCTCTGGCTCTGCTTCTCAAAATAGATAACTGGAGGTTTTGGCTACAAATGGTCTAAGACTCCTTGTCCATGCCATCAGGACAAGCACAGGGCTTTAGCTGCTGCTGGGCAGTGATCCATCCCTGGGGAGCGGGGCTTCCTCCGTTCATCCTCTGGCTGATGGATGTAGAATCCTCCACTGGTCAGTGCATTGGACACAGCTCTGTTGAGACACTGTTGGGCTGGCACCACCTTGGCACGGGCTGTTGTTTACTGAATGTGTACTCTGTGCTGAGTTATCTGAAATATTTTCTTCAATGATACTTTTGTACTGAATTTTTCTATTTCTTTAGAATAATAAATAGAGAGGTGGTGGAGTCCCCTTCTCTGGAGATTTTCAAAACCCGCCTTGATGCAGTCCTGGGTAATGTGCTCTGGGCAATCTTGCTTTAGCAGGGGAGTTGGACTAGATGATCTCTAGAGGTCCCTTCCAACTCTGTCGAATCTGTGAATCTACAAATTTACTTTTAGTAAAGGTTTACTGTGTACAGGACGTAAAAGGGAGGGAAAAAAAAGTTTTTTCAACTGAAATAAACAGAGAAGCGTGCGATGAGAATCGGTATATCTGAACCTTCTGAGGGGGGTAGAAGGACAGAAAGAGGGATGCGGGCAGGTCTGTGCTACGGGGCCAGAGTCCAGAACCTTCTGAGAGGGGTTATCAGACATTGGAATGGGCTGCCCAGGGAGGTGGTTGAGGCACCATCCCTGGAGGTGTTCAGAAGACGGGTTGATGAAGTGCTGGGAGGTATGGTTTAGTGATGATGCTCCTTGTTTGTTGTGTGGGTGTCTATTTTTGTCAGTTAGGTTGACGGTTGGACAGGATGATCTTTAAGGTCCCTTCCAACCTAGAAGATTCTGTGATTCTGAGAGGGGCAGAAGGACAGAAAGAGGGATGCGGGCAGGTCTGTGCTACGGGGCCCGAGTCCGCCCTGCGCTGAGCCCTGACGCGGAACCCCCGCGGCTCCTCTTTTGATTGAACTGCGCCTGGAAGGCGGGGATGCTGGGCGGCTGGAGATGTGCGGTGTGAGGCAGGACGGCTCCGCGGGAGGACCGGCCCCCGCCCCGCCTCGCCTCGCCCCCGGGGGGCGGCTGGAGGGACGGGGACCGGCACGGAGAGCGGGTCCGGGGCCGC